CTGCTGAGAATCTAAATGTGGCAAATACCTTTTAGAATCCATCATTAAATGTCCATGCTTACGGCTTTTAGTCTTAGATTTAGTGTGGAGAAATTTCTATATTTTCATTGATTTGGAGGAATACCATTTGATTATATTGCCCATGCCAAAGGAAAAAACTTGCAGGAAAGATTCAAGGAGGATGCTGATGAATTGAACTGTTGGATTGAGCTTACTTATCTCTCATTTTCTCTCTCAAGATTAAAGTTTGAATGAATGAAATGGCACTTGTACAACTTATTCAGTCCTCAGAAATGAAAAAATTGTCCTATTTTCTGTATTTTTCTACTATATATTTAATTAGACAATAAAGTGCAGGAACAAAATTCAATGAGTAATCAACTTTTTATTTTCTCTTATTTAATGATAATAAATAATCAACTGATGTTGTGACCCTGCAATCTTGGTATGCTTTTTTTGTGCACAGCAAATTATAAGGCTGTCCGATCCCTTGCATTGAATTCTCTGAACTTTGAAAGAAGCTCAATTCTTCTGCAACATTTCATGGAGACCGGCCAAGGTTTAAATCATTGCCTGTTATGACTGTTTCTTTAAGTCACTTTGTCATTAATTGCAACTTAGTACTAGATTGAGGTTGTTAATTAAACTGTCCTACAAACCAGCACAGCACAATCACATCAAAGCTATAATTGCATGGTCAAGTTTCTGCTGTATCTTTATCATTCAATTTACTAGTGTTGCTAGCAGATGGTTAGCAGAGTTCTTACTGACAGAGTTTAGTACACCGTCCATAAGCACTGTAGGTTTGATAATTATCTCCAAACAAATAGAAGAGCTTACTTGTTAACAGTTTCCATGTGTTATTCTGTTGAAATACTGGACAAATTTTAATGCTTCTATTTTCTGAATATGGATTTATTTCTTGCTTTTAAACAAAAATTTGATAGTATACGGTATACCATCCATCAGCACCAAAGAGCTTATTTGTTAACAATGTCCCTGTGTTATTCTGCCAAAATACTGGACAAACTTTAATGCTTCTATTCTCTGAATATGAATTTGTTTCTTGCTTTTGAACAAATTTCCTGATTTGTATTGCCCTCATTGGATATGTCTGGAAATTGGAGGATGTTAATGCTTGTTCCTAAATATGTTTCCAGTTTTATCGCCTGAACAGGTCTCTCTGATGGAGCATGTTTTGCCGATATGGATGAGTTCATGGAGATCAAAGAATGCTAAATTGCTGCATACACGTGTGCACTTGGGCTTAAGGGTTTCCTTTCTTGATCATTCGGAAATGTGAGTTTCTTAATCCATTCAGGTTATACTTGTTTGCGAGCACAATGCAATATTGTCTTAAGAACAACTGTCTTTTTACATAATGTGCTTCTTAAAAACTGGGATAGGAGACCTTTGAAAAAAAATCTGAATATTTCTTTACATATTTTAAAAATTTATGAATCAAATCCATGGTCAGCCCTTGAACCAACTGGTGTGAATTTACTGCTCTTAGTTGATTTCCTAATTTTGTATGTAACTAAAAAGTTAAATGATATCTAAACAGGGGGAACCTGCTGCATTCTGCCGGATCTCTTTACAAGAAAGGTTTATCTCTGTCTCTCTCTCATACATATCTATATATAATCATTCCCAACTCCATAGAGTCCTAATTCAAAAACACTATCCTCTAATGAATATTTTGAAAAACCAACGCTAGTTATGTAGATCATGCATGCTAATTTTCAAGTTGATCTAACATCTATAATCATTCGACCAAGAAATTGTATTTCTAACATATATTTAACAGTATTAGATTTTGTATAATCAATGAACTAGTTAGACATATTCAATCAATTTGAAAATTGACATACAACGGTTTAAGTTGTGCAGTCCAGTTTGAGATACACACACACATATGCACTATATATGATCTTCCTGATTGGAACATTCTAGCTTATCCTTGTAATTCTCTTATTTGTCTGTTTAGCAATGTATTTGCTAGTGGAGAGGAGGGGAATGATCAATGTTGTTCTGCACAAAGATTCAATTCCTACAGATGTCTTGCAGTCATATATTCACTCACTAGTACTGGCAAAAAATACAGATGAAAAGAGATCTTTACATTCAGAGAGCCAATCATGGATGGATAAACAGTATGAAATTTTTCTTCAGAAGGTATTTCCATAAGTGTTTACTGGGAACACTTTCATTTACTGAAATAGTATTGCAGAAACTTTTTCATTTGGGTTAAGAAGCCCAAACATTTAAGGACAGTCAGCTAAGCTCCTTACTGAGATTAAAGAAACAAAAGATTTATAACCTTTGGAGAGAAATAGAAGTTATTTAGGAAAGTAAACTATAATTCCTTCTTTGTTTAGTGAGTTATCATAGCCATTAATATATTGCTACTCTTTCCTCCTATGTTGTGGTCCATCCAGATTATGTTTTGCTCTTACAAGCTGTACCAAAACAGTGAGCTGTACCAAATCCCCCTTTTATTTTTGGAGATAATAAGTCCTGTTTCTTATTTTATGGCAAAATAAAGTGCATTTGATTCCGTGGACACTAGCAAACGTGATTTGTGAAATCAGAAACCCATTTTAACCTTTGGGAGTTTATTTTTACTGTTTAATAGAACTGATGCCCGTCTCTTCTCCTTAATTTTGATTTTTTTTTTTTTTTTTGCTGTCAATACCTCTTTTGCAGCTTAAAGCATCAGGTTGGAAAATAGAACGTCTTCTATGCCCTTCAATTATTTGGAAGGCACATTGGATGCAGGGGCAGTTCAATGAAAAAATTGACTAGGTAATGTGAGTTCTACCACTTGAAAATGGTGAAAATAGGTACACTTGATAGATTTTCTATTTGGGGTGAAGTGAGTTAGGCGAAATAATTGTCAGATGATAAATCTAATACATAGGGCTTGTTTTTGGGAATGCTAAAATATCCTCTTATTGGTACCTTGGATGGTGCAAATATATAGCCTCAGATCAGTATGTGTTCATGACCTCCAGGTTTAAATACGGCAATCTATGGGTAAAGTTTGAGACTGTTTGAAGTTGAGGTATTTGTTGGACACAGAAATTCTCACTGCAATCCTGATGTATTTTATATTTTCATCTTACTGTTTTCTTTGGATCAAATTATTCAGTTTTCTTTGCTATAAGATGCATAAAAACGTGATTTTTTTTTTGTACTTTGGACTGGAGGAATTCAAAGGTCAATAATTATATTTATGGTATTGGTTGACACTTGGGAAATGGTGCTTATACTCTGAATTTTGTCATACAATTTTATATATTTGGACAATGTTCTAAACTATCTTCAGGCCTTCATCTTTATCTTGCTTTGTACTCAGAATTTGATAGTAAAATGTTCAGGGAAAAAATGTTAACCTATCATGGACTCTTAGGATTTACCTTCCTGAAATTATGAGTCTGCTTCTTAAATGGTAGACTGGGTTGTGCTGTTAAATTAGTTGATAAAAGGTCCAAAAATGGAAGACTTGGTTAAAATTAATTCTACCTTTTTTATTGTTATTTCCTTTTATATGTTCATTTTTTCTTGAAATTTTTTTCTTAGTTGCGTCAAGAAGATTTATGTTGACCAGTGGTAGTTTACCCATACGAATATTTTGTCATCATGGATTGTAATAATTCATGTACTTGATCTAAAGAGACAATGTGTTTCTTCAAGATATTGTTCCTCTGCTGATACATTATTTGTTCTTTTTTTTCTTTTTCTTTTTCTTTTTTCATTTTTTTCTGCATAAGAATGATCAATAGGAGTATATTTTTATAAACTAATAGTAAAATTCCAAAACAGCATTCTTGTGTGTAGATATTTTATCCGTGTTTTTGTTCCTTGTTGAAGGTGATGTTAAATACGAATCGCTTTCTGTATAAATGTTTGATAAGATCGTGATTGACTTGCTCTCAGATCTTTTTCTATTGACAAAAGAAATGAGATTATATGTTGCTGACTTTAGGTTCCACGTCTACGTGTCTTACCATTGGTTGAAGTTTCAATTTCCACAATCATCTCTAGACGAAAATATGAAGTAAAATAAACAATTATTGCCTTCGGTGGTACTTACACTGTCAAATTGCTAATATTTGCAGAATTATTATGTTGGATATTATGGTTTGTTACCTCTGGTTGAACCGTTTCTGTGATTCATTCGTATACATTAGCTAGAAACTGGGTGTGCAGCTATATGCTAGGATTTTTTGTATGGCATAAAAATAGCAAGACTTGTTTCAATAGTTCTGCAGGGCGAGCAAGTTCGCTCAGACTCCAAGAATTTTAAACCAAAAATTAGGCATAAGAAAAACAAAACCCATAGTACATTAACTGGACGTATGCAAAAGGATGCTTAAACGGACACAGGCGACGTGCCTGCTGCTGCGAGATACTCTTGGACCCATAAAGATGTAAACAATTTGTAAAGCTGCATTCACGTGGAACCGCAAAATCTGCCTAGATACGTTGAAAGTGATTCCAAGATTTGCATGAATTCTGCGGAAGTGCTAGCATTTGTTTAGCATTATATACATACTACCAAATGACAGTTGGCTACAGCACAAGAACATAGATAAAATCAACTCCTAAATTAGTGCAGCACAAATTAGTTAACAGCATTCCTGAAGAAAACTGCCAATCATATAGGACAATCCGAAATCCAAATACATGCCTTCAGGATGCAAGGTAGTTACGGAACAGGAATTGTCACTCAAGGAACCGGTCCTAGATAATCACCATCTAAACTAACCAAGGCTTGGACCTCCCTCTCTGCTTCCATCCACTTTGTTCCAATCACAATGAAACGAATGGTAACATCTTTCTCAATCTTTGACATCTTGTCATTCATGAAGAAAGGATTCTCTCCAGGGAAGTAATTGTAATCCGGCATTTTCAGGTTAGAAAGATACAAGTTGTTGATTGGTCCACACTTCAAGAAAACCCCATGCTTCAGCACCTTGACTACAACACCCTCCAGAATCTCTCCTGTGAAAATTTTGAATGTGATGCCACTGAAAACAACAGGGAAAAGCACATCTCCAGTTTGCTGCCTAACTCTTCCCTCTCCTATGCTCTCCAAGGTTGTCACAGCTAGAAAATATCCATGATCTTTGGTGGCCTTCTTGACAGCAAATTCATTCAACAGACGGATCACAATTTGCCTTTGAAGCATCAATCCTTCTGAATCCAAGCTGTCAGCAGGGATTATAACATTCCATGGCAACTGCACCTTGAGAAACATTTTTTCCAGCTGTGAAAAATTGAAAAAGAGAGAATACCCTTAGTAATATGAGGTATACCACCTGGGATTTGCCCTTTCCAAGCAACAAAAAACAGAAAAGAAAAAAAAAAAAGCCTTGCCATGCCTTCCGCTCCAATGTGTTGGCAGTACAATGGGCATGTTAAGAGGAAAAAACAAATCAAAATTCAACATGAAACTGAACGAAACCGAGACGCAAGACGAGCAACGCAACATCAGAAACCATCAAAACCATCATTAATGAGCCCACGCTAGAAAAACAAATTTAGTTCAAATCCCATTTGCAGTCATCATTTCACAACACTAAAAATTCAAATCGAAATTCTCGTTCTCAATAATGAAACAAACTTGAATTTCGCATAAAACGCACAAGAATATTTCAATCCATAATCAAATGCGGCCAAGAGAACAACATAATAATCAAAAAACAAAAAAACATAAAATCAATCTATGAACAGAACTCGGGAAAGAGATACCGATTCCCTGAGCTCTGCTCCTTTGATACTCCTCCTTGGTTCCTTCTCTCTTCTGTTGACCCTTTCTTCGATTTTTGCGATCGTTTGGTCGCTGGAGTTCAAGAGTTCCCAGGGCGATTCCGGTTGCAAAGAAGAAGACAGAGACGGAGGAGTGAGGAGTAGTAGTGTGGCGGTGATGGCAGAATCGCAAGTCTGAGATGGGAGTAGGGTTGAACGACGGAGAGAATGAAGGCTTGTGCCAACAAGGAAAAATGGGTTCGGCGGTGATGAATCTGTAGAGGGGAAAAAAGGTAGATCGATGAAGAGAGTTCGAAAGAGAGCGGCGGACAATGGGAATTCTCTCGTTAATCGGAGATGGAGAGTGGAAATGGGAAGCAAGATGGCCGGCGGGGAGAAGAAGAAGAGAGTCAGGGTCCGCTGGCGGAGGACAAAAATAGAAAAAGAAGAACAGGTCTGGGTTCTCTGCCTGAACCCCGACTAGGGTTTCTGAAGTTTAGCTTATATCAGATGGGTTTCGGGTCAAGAAACGGGGATGGATCGGGTCTTGCAGGTTTTTAAAGTTGAGATTAAAGACAGCTTGGGCATTTTTTTTTGGGGGGCGACAAAGACTGGGTTGGCTTGATTCTGTGTTTTTGTTTTAATTTGGTTATATCCCCGATTCAGTCCCTGAACTTTCATTTTTGGACTAAAAATACCCTCGAACTAAAAAAAGTACTAAAAAAATCCCTAAACTTCAATTTTTAGAACCATTTTGGTCCTTCCGTCAACGGAAGTGCCAGATGGCACGTTAAGTTGCCACGAAATCAATTATTGTTTGAAATATTTAATTACATGGAAAATAACTTATTATCCACGTCATTTTAGTTAATTTATATATTAAAAAATTTAAAATTTCTTAAATACCCACGATCAACACCGATTATGCCTCACTACTCCCGATCATCTCTTTCTACTCCGATCACCATCTCCTTCTTCCCCAAACCTCCCAAACCTCCTCTCTGAAACCCAAATCTGTAAACTTATACTAAATTTATAAAAATTCAACAAATTACTCATTATTCCGATTATCTCTTTCTACTCCAATCACCATCTCCTT